ACACATTGGTGTACTATGAGATAATTGGTAGAGGAGAGTTAGACCATCCCAATATATCGGAATAAATATAGGAGTTACCCTATATGACTCTATCCATAAGACTAGGGTTTACCCTTAGGACTAGAGTATATACAATGTATGGCCCTATAATGGAAATTTTTTACATATGGTGCCTCCACTCTAATGTATCTGAATATATCACAACCTTATGAAACTTTAGACATCTAAAGAAAAATGGATATAATTATTAGCATAAATATTAAAAATTGAATAGCCACCCTTGTTCGTATAAAACCATTCTTTTATTTACTCCCGGCAAGAGAGTACACTATGTTCTAGGCTCTTGATTGGTTATCTAACACTTACTATATATCATATGTCCCTCATAATTGGAGGTCCTATATATAGATATTAATTTATTATAGTTACTAGAAATTGTAATCAATGGGATTCCCTTGGAGGTAAACATATATTACTCGGATTGGGAAATAATTTTTGTAACACCCCCAACCTAGGACCTAAAAGGTTGAGAATATTACCGTCGTTAACCTACAATTGAAGTGCAATGAATGCAAGCTAACAAGGCACTCGTGACTTAATGTCTAAAGTGAAATCTATGTCTTAGAAATTTAATATTGGTCGGGTAGGTCCTATACTTTAACTTAAAAGACGTTATAAATTTTTTGCATTTAATCTATTTTCTCGGATACTTGAAACTGAATTCGAGGTTATTTGCTAGTTCAAATCCTTTCTTTACTAACTATTGCAATTGTAATTTCTTATTATCGATTATTATAATATTACTTATTCTCTTTCATATTTACTATTCTTTTTATTTAATGGTTAATTAAGAAATTCTCTAAAATATTCAAGGATGCTAACTCGCGAGTGGACAATTTAAAGTAACTACACTACTATCAGTACGTTATCATTTTACTATTAGTATTTCAGTTCATATAGGTTACTAATTTACATACAAAACTACTTATATACCAACTATTAAAAATTTTGACTTATTTACTAACTACATTATTTTAAAGTACTACACTTGTTCATTGCTTCTAATATAACATAACACGATCGACTAATTCTAGAACATGTAAGTCAATAGCTAGTATCGTAAATAAAATCACATGTAGTATGTCCACCGGATCCCAAAGCCCCATCCAAGGTATAACCATCCGGTGCATTCCTCGAAATCGGCTTCGTAGAGAAGTAAGCCATAGTAGCTTATTTATCTATACCATAAGGAACTATATGAGCTACGACCCGGTAAGTTAATGTATGCATATAGTGTGCATGCATGTAGATGCATGTATAAAATACCGATATATACATAAGAAATCCTTTTTCTCATGTCATAAAACATCTCATAAACAATCTAAAAATCCTTTTTCTGTCTTTGGACATGTCCCATTTAGGTACTTCGGGGTTTCCATAACATATTTCGGCAAACCGGACACTGTCCATGGACATGCCCTACCGAGCCTCTAAAAGTGCACGTTTACACTTGCTCGGCCTTGAACCATTACCATTACCATATGAAAAACCCATGAAGCCCATCCTCATAAAAATCTTCAAAGTCGTGAAAATCTTTTTCTTTAAAATAATTCTGATCGCTATTGAAAACTCATAGCATCAAATACGTTTCCATGACTTAAAACATTATTCATGAGCTTCGGCATGCATATGCATTTTGAATGACAATGCATGCTAACAATGATACCCAAATGTATATCCTAAATGGTCATGTAACCATGTTATAAAATCACATATAAAATCGGACAGACATAACGGCATAGATAACATCAATCCATATCAAGCAATGCAACTAACATTGGCGCATAGTTACCATAACCATAGTTCTCATCACCAATCACAACTCAAGCATAACCATCATTCATTATTCATTGCATTCCATACATTATTGGGAAGAAAATACAATTATAGCATAAGAGTAAGTAAATAATTACATTTCATTTTAGTTTCATTAGCTTACTCTACATTTTAACATTTCCAAATTATTTTCCTTAGGTTGCTAACTACCCTTTTGCATCTAGTATTTACCAAATTAGGTATTAATTCATGTTCTAACTTAATTAGGTACTATTTCATTAATTAGGTGGTCTAATTTCAGTTTGGGCCTTAATGGGCCTAAAGTCCAATTTTTCCTAAATCAATTTTCTTTAGATTTTCATGAACACTTTTGTTCTAAATCATCCCTTTACCTTATTTTTCACTTGAATGAATTAATTTAGGGTTTGGAACTTACTTTAAACTTACTTCCCAAAATTCCTCATTTAGGCCAAATATTTCACCATTTAAATTCCTAAGATTTTCCTCTCATTTTGCCCTACCATTTTAATAACAAGTAGCCTAAATATGTACGCACTATGAGAATTAATTTAATTAAAATTTAGAACCCTAATTCCCGCCCAAACCCATATTGGGCCCAAGCCCATATAACCCATTTTCTTCAATTTTTAGCAAATTTTTCATTTTTACTCATCAAACATGCTTATTCAAGTGTGAATGACTCATAAAACTAGAATCAAATTGCTTTGAACTCAAACCCTAATTTGCTTAGTTTAGGCCGAGTATAATTCGTAAAAATTAGTAGATTTTTCTTCAATTAAAGTGTAATTTTTCATTCTTAAACATTAATTCATGCTCAAATAAGTCAGAATCAAGTGCCAAAGCACCAATTAAATAAAAGAATTCAAAAACCCCAAATTTGGTTCATCAAGAACCATAACCCTAATTTTTCTTAATTGAGCAATTAAATCAAATCAAGCAATTATACATGAAATTGACTTGAAATTAATCATGTTTATGGTGTAGGTGAGGTTAACTTACTTGATTTAGCTCCAAATTAACCTTGAAAGGTTAGGTTGCTTGAGAATTCTCTTCCTCCCCCCCCCTTTTTTTTTCCCTAAATTTGAATTAGCTCTTTTAATTTTCTTCTTGAAGGTATTCAACTCTCAACTTGAAATTAAAGCTTAATCCACTGATTTAGAGGGTTTAAAATTGGTTAGGATTATTTTGGGTAATTTTTGGGTGGAAATTTTGCTAGAGTTTCCTTTATATTTTTCAATTTTCCTTCCCTTTTTAATTTTTTCAGCACTCTTATTTATAGGAAAATTTTGTGGGCTTATTGACTTATCTCCACCCTTAATTTGCATAAATCTCAGCCTTTAATTCAATTTTCAATCAATTCTTTTTATTTGGCTAAATTTTTGGTAATTTTTTCTTCTTTTTGTTTAAGCCTTCCATTTAGCTTAATTTCAGCCACAAAATTTACTGGAAGTCATACTTAATAAATTCTTTAGGTCTGCCAAAGTTGGAAGGAAATGATAAATTTTGATCCTCTAAGTTTCTAGACTTTTCGATAGCCTATTCTTTCCTAAATCTCTCTTTTATGCAAAACCTCACTTCTAATCCTCCCTTTTCCGTTTCTAGGACTAAATTTTTACCCTTAACATTCCTACATAATTTAATTTGGGTTATTAAACTTTTAATTTATGCAATTAAGTCCATAATTTTAGATAATTTAGTCCCTACTTTTAAAATTCCATTCTACACTTTTCAAAAATCCAATTTCTTTCCATAATAAATTCAAACATTCATTAAGGGAGTTTGATTTAAATTTTCATAATTTTTGGCTCTCATTTGGGACTCCAATTTATTTATTTAGTATGAAAATTATGCTATTTTCTATTAAAAATATTCCCTATACTTATTAAAATTAATTTATTTTTTCTAAGTACTCTCACACATCCCATATGATTATTATATGCTCTTAAAAAAATCCTAATACTCTTAAGGTGCCAAATTAAATTCTTTACCTCTAAAAACACTATTCTAACATACCAAAATTCAAATAAAATATTCATAACACATAATAAAATCCACCCAAGCACATCAAATAATTTAACACCCCTTTAACAATTATTCTAAGCACACAAATTATTTTTCATTAAAAAACAACATGCTATAATTAAGTATTTTATGCAAAAACTACTATTCATGTATCATAAAATCAATAAAATATCCCTTAAACATAGAAAAACCATTTTAACTATTATATATATTCATTGAAATTCCTAAGGATTATTTCACACCCTTAAAATATGTTTTTCTTGTGTTTAATATTAAAATTTTATTTTATTTCAGTTTCAACGAGCATCGGTTATTACAATTTTAATGATATAGAGGGTTAGTTGTTCATATGTTAAAATCAACAAACACCTAAAAAGAATATACTAATTAGGGTCTTATACTATGGGCTAGGATATGTAATAATATTAGCCCTAAATGTCATTATAAGCCCTTACATTAATCATTTTCAAAATGATAATCCCCTATGTCTTATAATTGGGTGCCTCGATCTAAAAAATAGCCACCCGATAAATTACCTTTAGTATATGGCATAACCATTGTAGATGCATATTGACCTATGCCAAAAATTGCTAGAATAAACATCTCAAAAAATGTTGGGTATATATCAAACAATCTAGCCTATATGTATAGTTCCTTAAAGAATCCAAGGAGGGTGAGTCGGCTTATTTCTATCAAGCTTTTTCACTCTAATATCTCCTACCCTCTATCTCTCTCCCACTCTCCTCCTTTGTTAGGTGTTTATATCAACTAATTTAATATGGTCGTCGGGATAGTTTTCACCATATAGTATCGGGATATCCCTCTCACTCCCTTTTTTAATAACTAAAAGGGATATCCTAATACACTAATTCCTTATTATGTTATCCTTTTACATATTTATAACCACGGATAAGGATATGCTATATCTAATAGTCATATTTTATTAATAATTCTCCTTCTATTATAGACTATCAATATTAAATATTAAAAAAAATGTTCAAATAACCATAATAGGTATAAATATGCCTATAATACTACCAAAGGTTCCATCACTAGCCAAATCCTCTTATGTGGTCGTTTATAATAATGCCAGGTAATCATAGACTCCTCTCAAATAAGTAATGGAGACCCCTAGAGGCTGGAGAGAGCGAGACTTAGCTAAGTACAAGGTATAAAGAATGTTAATATATTCAAGAATTCCTATTTTAGTAGTGTTATAATTAATCCTAGTGGATATGCTAGGGAATAAATTACGCGTATCCCCATTCTTGTAGTGTTGTAATTATGATATTAGTTTTAATTATATTTGGTTATATTTAATATAGAATAACCAATATTCTCCCTCTCTCACTACATTATTAGTGAGGGAGATATGGCCCTAGTTCCTCCATTACCCGAGTGCTATTTTAGAATACCATCTATTATCCAACCTAACTCCACATTATTCTTAGCTTCATATTAGCTTATCCAATCAGGTGAAGCCAATTTTGGCCACATCAACATGGCTCCAAAGGTATACAATTTATATACCCTTTTTTTTTTTTTTTGTCAAAGTAAAGCCTCAAAATAAACAACTACTCTATACAAAAGAATTATGGTAATGTTACCTATTAATTGAGTTGATTAGATGGCAAAATATCACCTCCTCGTTACACTCACTCCTTTAAGAATCATAAAATTAGGGTTATGGAATCTTATAGAAATCTAAGATAAATTGATTATAACTTATTATTAGGGGTATGTTTCCCTTTTAATAAGAACGCTCCTAGGTATTGGCGATTCAAAAATTATAGCCTAACTATACCAAATTCTAGGACATATAGATTTGATGGTCTTATTAATATTTTTTTGTGGTAAATAAGACTGAATGGAATCAGATATTTTTCGTATGAACTAGGGATCGATTAGGTTATAAGTAATTATTTCCTTATTAAAGTCCAAAGTAAATAGATGGTAATTATTAATCAAGTGAGGGTGGCAGACTTCATAAAGAGAGTGGCCTACATTAAGAAAATTATTGAAAATATAAGAATTGTTCCTATGGTAAATATATATCTCCCTCCTATAGCTAATAATTTTTAACCAAGTGAGGGTCCTTGGTAATTAATCTTATTTCTATCAAACCTTGTCACTCCAATATCTCTATCCCTCTATCTCTCTTCCTCTCTCCTCCTTTGTTGGGTATCTATATCAACTAATTTAATATGGTCGTCAAGATAGTTTTCACCATATAGAATGAGGATATCCCTCTCACTACCTTTTTTTAATAACTAAAAGTGATATGCTAATACGATAACTCCCTATTAGTTTATCCTTTTATATATTTATAACAACGGATAAAGGTATGCTATACCTAACAATCATATTTTACTAATAATTCTCCTCCTATGGATAGACTATCAATATTAAATATTAAAAGCAAATGTTCAAATAACCACAATAGGTATATATACGCCCATAATACTATCGAATGTTCCATCACTAGCCAAATCCTCTAATGTGGTCGTTTATAATAATGCTAGGTAATCATAGACTCCTCTCAAATAACTATTCGAGACCCCTAGAGGCTGGAGAAAGCGAGATTTAGCTAAGTGCAAGGTAAAAAGAATATGAATATATTCAAGAATTCCTATTTTAGTAGTCTTATAATCAATCCTAGTGGATATGCTAGGGAATAAATTATGCGTATCCCCATTCTTGTAGTGTTATAATTATGATATTAGTTTAAATTATATTTGGTTATATTTAATATAAAATAACCAATATTCTCCCTCTCTCTCACTCGCATTTTAGCGAGGGAGATATGGCCCTAGTTCCTTTATTACCCGAGTGCTATTTTAGAATATAATCTACTACCCAACCTAACACCACATTATTCTTAGCTTAATATTAGTTTATCCATTCGGTGAAGCCAATTTTGGCACATCAACATGTCTCCAAAGGTATACAATTTATATACCCTTTTTTGGTGTTAAAGTAAACCCTCAAAATAAACCAACTATGCTCTATATAAAAGAATCATGGTAATGTTACCTATTAATTGAGTTGTTTAGATGGCAAAATAGCACCTCCTGATACGTTCACTCCATTAAGAATCATAAAATTAGGGTTATGCATTCCTATAGAAATCTAAGATAAACTGATTATAATTGATTATTAGGGGTATGTTCCCCCTTTAATAAGAACGCTCCTAGGTATTGGTAATTCCAAAATTATAGCCTAACTATACCAAGTTCTAGGACATATAGATTTGATGGTCCTATTAATATTTTTTTGTGGTAAAGAAGACTTAATGGAATCCTATATTTTTGGCATTGGAGAACAGTGTATATATATATATATATATAGTTTTTCATATGAACTAGGGATATATTACGTTATAAGTAATTGTTTCCTGATTAAAGTCCAAAGCAAATAGATGGTAATTATTAATCAAGGGAGGGTGGCATACTTCATAGAGAGTGGCCTACATAAAGTAAACTATTGAAAATATAAGAATTGTTCCTATGGTAAGTATCTCTCTCGCCTCCTATAGCTAATAATTATTAATCAAGTGAGGAACCTTGGCAATTAATCTTATTTCTATCAAGCTTTTCACTCCAAATCTCCATCCCTCTATCTCTCTTCCTTTCTCCTCCTTTGTTGGGTGTCTATATCAACTAATTTTGTATGGTTGTCAAGATAGTTTTCACCATATAGCATGAGGATATCCCTTTCACTCCTTTTTTTTTAATAACTAAAAGTGATATGCATTAACACTAACTCCCTATTATTTTATCCTTTTATATATTTATAACCACGGATAAGGGTATGCTATATCTAACAATCATATTTTAGTAATAATTCTCCTTCTATGGATAGACTCGTCAATATTAAATATTAAAACAAAATGTTCAAATAACCACAAAATATATATATATATATATATATATATATATTACTATTGAAGGTTCCATCACTAGCCAAATCCTCTTATGTGGTCGTTTATAATAATGCCAACTAATCATAGACTCCTCTCAAATAAGTAATGGGGACTCCTAGAGGCTGGAGAGAGTGAGATTTAGCTAAGTAAAAGGTAAAAAGAATGTGAATATATTCAAGAATTCCTATTTTAGTAGTGTTATAATTAATCGTAGTGGATATGCTAGGGAATAAATTACGCGTATCCCCATTCTTGTAGTGTTGTAATTATGATATTAGTTTTAATTATATTTGGTTATATTAATATAGAATAACCAATATTCTCCCTCTCTATCACTGAATTATTAGCGAGGGAGATATGACCTTACTTGCCTTTATTACCCGAGTGCTATTTTAGAATATCATCTATTACCCAACCTAATTCCACATTATTCTTAGCTTAATATTAGTTTATCCATTCAGGTGAAGCCAATTTTGGCCACATCAACATGTCTCCGAAGGTATACAATTTATATACCCTCTTTTGGTGTCAAAGTAAACCCTCAAAATAAACCAACTATGCTCTATATGAAAGAATCATGGTAATGTTACCTATTCATTGAGTTGATTAGATGGAAAAATATCACCTCTTAATACGCTCACTCCTTTAAGAATCCTAAAATTAGGGTTAAGCATTCTTATAAAAATCTAAGATAAACTGATTATAACTGATGATTAGTGGGGGCATGTTCCTCTTTAATAAGAATGCTCCTAGGTATTGGTAATTCCAAAATTATAGCCTTACTATACCAAGTTCTAGGACATATAGATTTGATGGTCCTATTAAAATTTTTTTTGGTAAACAAGACTAAATTGAATCCTATATTTTTGGCATTGGAGAACAAGTATATATATAGTTTTTCGTATGAACTAGGGATAGATTACGTTATAAGTAATTGTTTCCTGATTAAAGTCCAAAGTAAATAGATGGTAATTATTAATCAAGTGAGGGTGGCAGACTTCATAGAGAGAGTGGCCTACATTAAGCAAACTATTGAAAATATAAGAATTATTCCTATGGTAAATATCTCTCTCCCTCCAATAGGTAATAATTATTAATCATATGAGGGTCCTTGGTAATTAATCTTATTTGTATCATGCTTTTTCACTCCAATATCTCCATCCCTCTATCTCTCTTCCTCTCTCCTCCTCTATTGTGTGTCTATATCAACTAATTTAATATGGTCGTCAAGATAGTTTTCACCATATAGCATGACGATATCCCTCTCACTCCCTTTTTTTAATAACTAAAAGTGATATGCTAATACACTAACTCCCTATTATTTTATCCTTTTATATATTTATAACCACGGATAAGGGTATGCTATATCTAACACTCATATTTTAGTAACATTCTCCTTCTATGGATAGACTATCACTATTAAATATTAAAACAAAATGTTCAAATAACCACAATAGATATATATATGCCCATAATACTATCGAAGGTTCCATCAATAGCCAAATCCTCTTATGTGGTCGTTTGTAATAATGCTAGTTAATCATAAACTCCTCTCAAATAAGTAATGGGGACCCCTAGAGGCTGGGGAGAGCGAGATTTAGCTAAGTATAAGGTAAAAAAGAATGTGAATATATTCATGAATTCCTATTTTAGTAGTGTTATAATTAATCCTAGTGGATATGCTAAGGTATAAATTACGCGTATACCCATTCTTGTAGTGTTATAATTATGATATCAGCTTTAATTATATTTGGTTATATTTAATATAGAATAACTAATATTTTCCCTCTCTCTCACTCGCATTATTAGCGAGGGAGATATGGCCCTAGTTCCTTTATTACCCGAGTGCTATTTTAGAATATCATCTATTACCCAACCTAACTCCACATTATTCTTAGCTTAATATTAGTTTATCCATTCGAGTGAAGCCAATTTTGGCCACATCAACATATCTTCAAAGGTATACAATTTATATACCCTCTTTTGGTGTCATAGTAAACTCTCAAAATAAATCAACTATGCTCTATATAAAAGAATCATGGTAATGTTACCTATTAATTAAGTTGATTAGATGGAAAAATATCACCTCTTGATATGCTCACTCCTTTAAGAATCATAACATTAGGGTGATGCATTCTTATAGAAATCTAAGATAAACTAATTATAACTTATTATTAGGGGTATGTTCCACCTTTAATAAGAACGCACCTAGGTATTGGTAATTCCAAAATTATAGCCTTACTATACCAAGTTCTAGGACATATAGATTTGGTGGTCCTATTAATATTTTTGTGGTGAACAACACTTGAATGGAATCCTATATTTTTGGCATTGGAGAAGAGTATATATATATATATATATAGTTTTTCGTATGAACTAGGGATAGATTAGGGTATAAGCAATTGTTTCCTGATTAAAGTCCAAAGTAAATAGATGGTAATTATTAATCAAGTGAGGTGGCATGCTTCATAGAGAGAGTGGCCTACATTAAGTAAACTATTGAAAATATAAGAATTGTTCCTATGGTAAATATCTCTCTCCCTCCTATAGCTAATAATTATTAATCAAGTGAGGTCCTTGGTAATTAATCTTATTTCTATCAAGCTTTTTCACTCCAATATCTTCATCCCTCTATCTCTCTTCCTCTCTCCTCCTTTGTTGGGTTACTATATCAACTAATTTAATATTGTCGTCAAGATAGTTTTCACCATATAGTATGAGGATATCCCTCTCACACCCTTTTTTAATAACTCAAAGTGATATGCTAATACACTAACTCCCTATTATTTTATCCTTTCATATATTTATAACCACGGATAATGGTATGCTCTATCTAACAATCATATTTTAGTAATAATTCTTCTGTTATGGATAGACTATCAGTATTAAATATTAAAAAAAATGTTCAAATAACCATAATAGGTATATATATGCCCATAATACTATCTAAGGTTCCATCACTAGCCAAATCCTCTTATGTGGTCGTTTATAATAATGCCGGGTAATCATAGACTCCTCTCGGATAAGTAATGGGGACCCCTAGAGGCTAGAGAGAGCGAGATTTAGCTAAGTACAAGGTAAAACGAATGTGAATATATTCAAGAATTTCTATTTTAGTGGTGTTATAATTAATCCTAGTGGATATGCTAGGGTATAAATTACGTGTATCCCCATTCTTGTAGTGTTGTAATTATGATATTAGTTTTAATTATAGTATGTTATATTTAATATAGAATAAGCATTTTTCTCCCTCTCTCTCACTACATTATTAGTGAGGGAGATATGGCCCTAGTTCCTTTATTACACGAGTGCTTATTTAGAATATCATCTATTGCCCGACCTAACTCTACATTATTCTTAGCTTAATATTAGTTTATCCATTAAGGTAAAGCCAATTTTGGCCACATCAACATGTCTCCAAAGGTATACAATTTATATACCCTCTTTTGGTGTCAAAGTAAACCCTCAAAATAAACCAACTATGCTCTATATAAAAGAATCATGGTAATGTTACCTATTAATTGAGTTGATTAGATGGCAAAATATCACCTCCGATATGCTTACTCCTTTAAGAATCATAAGATTAGGGTGACGCATTCTTATAGAAATCTAAGATAAACTGATTATAACTGATTATTAGGGGTATGCTCCCCTTTAATAAGAACGCTCCTAGGTATTGGTAATTCCAAAATTATAGCCTTACTATACCAAGTTCTAGGACATACAGATTTGATGGTCCTATTAATATTTTTTGTGGTAAATATTGTCTCTTTATTGTCCTAGAACTTGGTATAGTAAGCTCATATTATTGGGTACTTGGTTAATAGATTAGCTGATCATACATATCTTCATATTATCAAGAAGTGTGACGACTTGCTCATGATAAGCTGTTATTTCTATTTAATGAAAGCATCATATTGTCTCACTATACTTTTGGAGTATATTAACTATATAGTAAGGAGAATGACTTGGTTAATATTGATATAGAGTTGTCAATATTAATCTTAACCGAACAAGTACCAATAAATTTAACTTAAGGGCAATGGGCCATTGGTGAGAATATCAAACTTAATGTAAGAAATATACTCTGTATTACGTAATCATAATTATAGCTAATTGAGAGTCCCTCGTTACCTATATCAAGATAAAAGAGACATGATAAAGTTACGAGGGGTATCGGCCCTTGTATAGGGGTGTATCGGTAAAGCTGCCATCCAATTATTAATATCATATGGATGAGATCATGAGAATTGTGAGGGCCTCTATAATAGCTATATACTCCTAATGAAAACAAGCCTCCTATTCACCCAATGTAAACTCCATGGTATTACTCAAGATAATATAGCCGGTAAGGATATTACCGAGCTTATTGTATACATATAAAATAAGGGAATGATATATTCACCC